ATAGGAAGAATGGAGGGCAATAAGCCGACCGGTGGGTAAGTCATAAGAGCTTTCCCTAGGTAGTTTCATCAGATGTAAATAGGTAGTAGTCAGTTTCCATAAAGGGAATATACATGTACCGTAAATTCTTTCTAATAAAACATGGTGTACGCCAGTCATTAAAATCAAAAAAAAAAAATATTAATAATAATAAGTGCTACCTTTGAGAATTTATCTTAAAGTTGGATATCTTTGTGAAATTCTTTATTATTTTGATAATATTTTGCATTTTTTATCAGTTGCTAGTAAGTCAAACTATATTATCCATATATGAAATTAATATGAATTTAATATATCTCTTTTGTTATTTACATGGCTTGTTAGCTGATATTATAGTTATTAATTTATACCTATATCTTAATTTTTCAATTCTGCTAATAAATAAGTTATAATAGATTCTTTATAGCAGTAAGGAGATGATATCTTCTTGGTCTATTTCTACTTCAAGCTGAAAGGATCTGATTAGTCCATGACATGTAATAATTTGGTTGCTTCAATTTTTCAATAAACTTGTAATTATATTTGATTTGATTTGTATTTTTTATAAAAAATGTTGAATCAAAAATTTGAGACTTTGTTTATTCTTTAAATTATATTTTTTAGATAATAATTATCTAAATTATTCTTCTGTTTTATTTTTTATTTATTTAACAATATTAATAATTTTTGTAATTTTAGTCTTAGTTAAGCCATTTTCAGAATCAAATTTAAATAAGACTCAAAGTCAGAGTCAAAATTAAAATAATTGTTAAAAAAGCTAGTATTAGACTCAAAATCTAAATTTTTAATAACTATATTAATCATACCTTTTTTTTGAATCTGCTTTTGTTAGAATATCTAGACTTACTTTTTTTATTGTTAAAACAATTGTGAGAATTATAATTTGTTTTATTACACTTTAAACATTTGTATTGAGAAAATTTTAAAACAGCATATATAATTTGAACTAGTTTTGCTTGTTTAATATTCAAGTTTTTGAATTGTTATCTCAAATCTTCAATAAAATCATAGTTATAAACTTCTTTTGATAAATACATATCATTAAAAACACAATTTAAAAAGTAATTTATAACAAAATTATTATTTTTTTTGTTTTGTTGATTTGAGAAGTTTCTTTAAAGCTTGCTATTTTTTAGCAATAGTTCTTTTTAAATCCAGTATAATTTTTTTGAAATTGTTTTGTTTAAGTGTAATTTGATTTTTCTAAGATTTAAAGAAAATAGTTTATAAAACAGGTTAAATTTGTATAAATACTATAATAGATTTTATACAGATTTTAATTTTTTTTTGATCATATCTATACTATTTGTTATATAATGATCTTTTGTATTGGTTATAAATTATAAACAAAAAATAAACTAGATAAGAATTGGAATTGTATTGCTCTAACATCAATTTAACTAATTTTGGTAATAAAATAGAAATTGAATTTTAAATATCTATACATTTTACTTTTAATTTATTGTTAGAAAAATAATTTTAAAAGAATTATTGTTTAATTGTTTCTTCCTGATTTAATACTGAAAGTATTGAATAAACAAGTATAACTATATATGTTGTTGAAATTCATAGATTTTTGATGCAATTGATGCAATTATTTGACGCAATTGAGTCACTATTAAACCATATAAATAATTGAGTCATGACGCAATTATTTTTGAGGATTTTGGGAATTGAGTCAACAGCAAATAATTTATACCATATATATAAGTATAACCATTCTTTTTAATTATATATAAAATTGATTTTTAGAATTAATTTCTTAAATAATATTATTAAATATAATTTTTGATTTTTTAACAGTAATTATTAAATAATTTGTTTTGAGCCAATATATTATTTGTTCAATATAAATATCAAGAGCAATAATATTATCTTTTGCATTAGTATTGGAAGCATTGAAAGTTAAATATGTTAATTGTTTATCAGTTATTGATCAATTTTCATTGAAAACAATATATGTCAATTCCAATGCTATAACAATTGAATTGTTATCAATTGAAATTGTATTTCTTACTTGAAGAGCTTTGTCTCTAAATTGATTAATATTGATATTATGCAATACATTATTATTAACTAATTCATTAATAGTTCCAAAATTGATCAAATTGATATTATTACTAATATTTTGCAATTTTTAATTTTTATTCTTATAATTAGTTTCATATCAATTTTTTTCATTGTTTCTTAAACAAGTTTCAAAAAGTCCATGAATTCTTACTTTGGTTCAAATGTTTATAAGTAGATCAAGTCCAGATACTTTACAATATTGCTTAAAATTTCTAATCCATTTTTTGAAAAATTTTCCAGCTTTTTCATCGGGTGATAATTGAGTTACATCTGTTTTTAATTTTCTAAACATTTGTATATTATTCTGAAAAAATATCATAATTTATAATAATTAGTTCATTGAAATTTACCAAGGCGATGAAGATTTTAACAAAGCCAGCTCCACAAAAAATGACCTACCAAATTATTCAGCACACTACAATAATTAAAAAGGTCAGATCATATCTTTATTATTTTTGTAAAATGAATATTGGGAGTAAGGGACCGGCTAACTAATATAATAAATACTAGAGTAATGGTTGTTTCAAGGGAGAAAAGGCAATGAAAAGACCACTGCCTGCTTATTTAGCCTGTCGAGCCCTAACCCATAGAAGACAGTTCCTTCCCGTTACTCATAGAGGAAAACCCGTCTATGATCTATCCAAGCATCAATTTTTTCTAAGTTTCGCTTTTTATATTTTCCCCACGATAAAAACCCTTTATTGTATCTTTTCCAATTACCATCCCAAGTTTAAGAAGATCAGTCGATACAACATTACACATTTGATCTAAAGTATAATCATCCTCACTTATCATATCTTTCGAATTAGACGTATTAGACAATGGGATAGAGGAAGCAGGTGTTTCTGAATTTTTATTTTCCTTCTCACAAGAATTTTACCAATCTCGGTTCACAAAGTTGGGTTACATGTGTTAATATGGAACTTTTCTCATCATCCCGTAACTCAGCCAGAGGCAAGTTCACATCAATGCTATAATCAAAGGATACATTATCTATAATATACTGATTTCTTTTTTTGTTAATTTCGATATACTGTCAGCAGAAAAGGAATGAATGCGATAAATTTTATCCATACATATTGAATCAAAAAGTTTATAAAGCTTCTTTGCTTTTTCGATTCTCTTACGTAAAAGGCTATCAGAAGTGTCTGCGGGTAGCTGTGCTTTTACTTCTTCATTTAAAATTCTACCAACAGTATTGGATTCTGGATCAACTTGCCTTTCCGATGCTATTTCATTACGTCTTCGACTAAGTGCCTTTCCAAATAGGCAATAGCATGCGATAGCTTCTTGGGTTTTACGATCAGCAAGAATTATAGCATCGCAAAGTTTTTCATATAAAAGCGTAAAGTTAGTATTACTGGACGCTTCATCCTGGGTAGTAGTTGTCACATCCCTACCTATATTATCATTATTAATAGAACTTGAGTTTTCAGAAATTTCTGACATGATTTTCTGTACTTTGTCTTGAGATCTA